TTTTTTTGAGACAGAGTCTCACTCTCATCCAGGCTGGAGTGCAGTGGTGTGATCTTGGCTCACTGCAACCTCTGCCTCCTGGGGTCAAGCAATTCTCCTGTCTCAGCCTCCCAAGTAGCTGGAACTACAGGCCAACACCACCAAACCCAGCTAATTTTTGTATTTTTAGTAGAGACAGGGTTTCACCATATTGGTCAGGCTGGTGTTGAACTCCTGACCTCAGGTGATCCACCCACCTCGGCCTCCCAAAGTGCTGAGATTCCAGGCATGAGCCACTGTGCCCAGTGTAGGAAGTGTATTTCTTAAATAATAAGACTTAAAAGTCTTAAAAATGACTCCTTGATCCATGGGCTACAGAGTGGATGTTATGATAGCCGGCATGACAAGAACATTCATCTCTTTGTGCATCTCCATTAGAGTCTTGAGTGACCTGGTATATTGTCAATGAGCAGTAATATTTTGAAAGAAATCTTTTTTTCTGAGCAGTAAGTCTCAACAGTGTCCTTAAAAATTTATTAAACCATGCCACAAATACATGTGCTGTCATCCAGGGTTTGCTGTTACATTTGTAGAGCACAGGCAGAGTATATTTAGCATAATTCTGCAACTTATAGTCACCAGCTGCATTAGCCTTTTTTAATTTTTTTATTTTTATTTTTCAGACGGAGTCTTGCACTGTCACCCTGCCTCCTAACTATCTGAGATTATAGGTGCCCACCACCGTACCCAGCTAATTTTTGTATTTTTAGTAGAGGTGAGGTTTCACTATTTTGGTCTGGCTGGTCGTGAACTCCTGACCTCATGATCTGCCTGCCTGGGCCTCCCAAAGTGCTGGGATTACAGGCATGAGCTACCACACCCAGCCTGCGTTAGCTTTTAATGAGAGAGTAAGCCTGTCCTCTGAAGCCATGCACTGACTTCTCTCTAGCTACAAAAGTCCAGATGGCATCTTCTTCCACCAGAAGGCTGTTTCATCTATATTGAAAATCTATTGTTTAATGTGGCTACCTTCATCAATGATCTTAGCTAGATCTTCTGCATAACTTGCTGTAGCTTCTATAATACATTAGCATTTGCTGCTTCACCTTATACTTTTGTGATACAAATAGCTGTTTTATTTTTTAACCCCATGAACCAATCTCTGCTAGCTTTGAATTTTTCTTCTGCAACTTCTTCAACTATTCAAGCCTTCAGGGAATTGAAGACAGTTAGGACCTTGCTCTGGATTAAAGGGAATGTTGTGGCTGGCTTGATTTTCTATCCAGACTACTCAAACCTCCATATCAGCAACAAGGCTGTTTTTGCTTTCTTAACATTAGGGATTTTTTTGTGAAGATAAGTGAATGTACTTTATGTGGCCGGGTGGTGTTAAGTGTAAAGCAAATACAATATTGTTTTTTGTTTGTTTGTTTGTTTTGTTTTTGAGATGGAGTTTCACTCTTGTTGCCCAGGCTGGAGTGCAATGGAGCGATCTCGGCTCACTGCAACCTCCGCCTCCTGAGTTCAAATGATTCTGTTGCCTCAGCCTCCCATGTAGCTGGGATTACAGGCATGCACCACTATGCTTGGCTAATTTTTTGTATTTTTAAGAGATGGGGTTTCTCTGTGTTGGTCAGGTTGGTCTTGAACTCCCAACCACAGGTGATCCACCCACCTTGGCCTCCCAAAGTGCTGGGATTACAGGCATGAGCCATTGCACCTGGTCTACAATATACTTTTACATGAAATGGCCCTAGATTGCTGTGCCCTTTGAGCAGCCATATCTCTGTGTGGAAGAATGATAGTTGTTAAGTGCTGATTGCCTGGTAAACGTACAATTTTTAGATGTATGTAGCACCCAAAACAGACAACTATTATATTCCATTATATTATTGGATCTTTTAGGAAAATAACTAAAAAATAATTTAGAGTAAACTTACTTGATGGTGAAAAAGATGTTGGGAAGCATTCAGTCAGCTTTCAGCCCTTGCATCTTACAAAACAATTTTGATTGATGTGCTAAACAGAAAAAGGGAAGTACAAACTATGTAGAAAAATAGTATGTATCATTTAAAACGGTTTTTGAAATTGAAAATGTGTTTCATGTTTCGAACTCCTTGCAGTAGTCCTGATATACAATAAGCCCCAGGGATAAACTACTTAGTAATTTACACTCCTTTATACATATGTGGGTGATCCTTCAAGTATACCAGATTTAGAATCAATAAGTCTTTATTAAGGGCTTAATAACAGTGATAGCCACATTTTAAAAAAAATTTTATTTGTATTTAAAAAAATTTTTTATTATACTTTTAAGTTCTGGGGTACATGTGCAGAACGTGCAGGTTTGTTACACAGGTATACACATGTCACGGTGGTTTGCTGCGCTCATCAACCCGTCATCTATATTCGGTATTTCTCCTAATGCTATCCCTCCCCTAGTTCCCCTCCCTGCCACAGGTCCTGGTGTGTGATGTTCCCCTCCCTGTGTTCATGTGTTCTCATTGTTCAACTCCCACTTGAGTGAGAACATGCGGTGTTTGGTTTTCTGTTCTCGTGTTAGTTTGCTGAGAATGCTTTCCAGCTTCATCCTTTAAAAAAAACTCATCTTTTTATGCTGCATAGTATTCCATGGTGTATACACATGCCACATTTTCTTTATCCAGTCTATCATTGATGGGCATTTGGATTGGTTCTAAGTCTTTGCTATTGTGAACAGTGCCACAGTAAACGTATGTGTGATATGCCCTTTAATGAGAGTCTGGCAATATGTTTTAGTTAGCATTTTATTTTATTTTATTTTACCTTTTAATTTCTTTTGTACATTGTTAACTAATAGTGCTGTTTATTCTTTTATTTTTTCTAATTTATTATTTCTTGCTGGAAGGAATAGCAGTTTTTACATTTTTTTTTTTTTTTTACATTTTTTGTTTAGCACTTTTTACATTTTTTTTTTTTTTTTTAAACAGATGAGGAAACTGAAGCTTAGAGAATTTTCTAGTTTCTCAGTGGGAGAGCTAGGAGTCAGAGCTGGCTCTTCATCTCAGCATGATTTTTATATGTTCCTACTTCCTTACAAGTAGATCGTATCTTCACAGCTCTGTTCCATCCTTCCAGAAATGTGAAGTGACTTACTCCAGGGCACACCGTGGATCCAATCTAGGGTATTCATACCTGATACCTTAGATTGGAGCCTGTGTCTTCTGACTCTGAGCCCTTTCTACAGGCTTTCTGATTGCATCCCTGAATCTCTGCCGGTGCATTTGAACAGTCTTTGAAGCTCTAAGCCTAGCAATCAGCCCTTGGAGCCTTTCCTGCTTTTCTTGCATACAGCATGGTGCTGTTGCTTTCATAGTGAAGTATAACATCAGAACCCAGAATGACTTCAGAGAATTAACCAGGCATGTCAAATGAAATTCTAGTGAGATTTGCTGTGTAGTGTGAAATTTTGTGAAAGTGACAACTTCACTGTGAATTATTTTCCTATAAGTAACTTTAATATAAAAATTCTTTTGTAATATAATTTCTCAGGGCCATTGTTGTTTTTCCTCTTAGGTCATTGCTAGAATCGTGGATGGAAGCAGATTCACTGAATTCAAAGCCCTTTATGGAGACACATTAGTTACAGGTATAAAGGTGAAGAATTGAAAATACGAACATTTTCTGCTGCTTTGAAAATCAGGAATCTCGTCTCAAGACTTTGATACACTTGGCATGGGCTTTGTCATTGAGAGCACTACAAATGTGTGAGCCAGTTTTCAAAAGGAACTGCTTTATAAAGACAATTTGTAGCTTAATGGCTTCACGGATCCAAATAGTTTAAAATGGTAATAGCTAGATGCTGTGGTGTGGGTCCCTATCTGTGACTTTGTAACATTAGTTGTATAAAAAGGTTCTTATAGAAAAATTAGCAGAAAATACTTGTAGTTATTTTTGTTTTTCTGGATAACTATAATATTTTGAAAATTTTAGCACTGTTTCCTTTATTCTCTAGTGTCCAATTCAACAAGGAAGTTTTATATTGTGCTTAGCTTCTCAGAAGAATATAGAGTGAGTTAATTCTCACAGCCTCTGTGTAGGTCTTAAGCTGATTCATGCAAACATTAGATTGAGATTTCAATATATCAGGTCAGGAAAAACAAAATAAGGATGTTTATAAAAGTTAATTTTTTAAATCTAAAGTGTTTGTAGGCCTTTGAAGAAAAGTATTTGAGATAGTTGCTAGACCTATAATAATCTATTTAAAACAAATGGAAGAACAAATTTTGTGAATTTTACTTGGTCATAAAAAGCTTGAAAATACAGTAGTTAGTCAAAGATAATATCAGAGTAGGAGAAAAACTAGCTGCAGAAATCCAAATTGCAAATATACATTGAGGCTTAAGCAGAAACCACAGTGCTTTGTCCTGGTTTGATTTGTGAACAAAAGAAGGGTTCACACTGGGAGTAGAATTTATGTTTTTGTACTTAGGTGTTTAAGTGATTAAAAGCTTTTTGTTTGATATATAGACAGGATTTGTCACCAAATTGTTCAGGATGTAAGGTCATTGTGTAGCAGTTTAAAACAAGTCAAAGCTCTTTCTGCTTTCCCTGAAGATGGATGGGCTGTCTTTGTCATCTGCTTTTATGGATTTGCCCCGTACTTGCTAAAAGCCGTGTGGTACTTTTGTCCCCTAGAATACACACCTGGTTTCCTTCATCTCTTCTTGACTGTGCTGGAGTTCAAATATGTTTAGGGACAGAGAAGGGGAATGAGAAGGAGAAGAAGGGAATGAGAGGAGGGTGGGGGTGAGGGTGGTGGATAAGAATGGTGGGAGGAATGAGAATGTGGGAGGCATAAAGTGTGAGGAGGTGAGAGGGGAGGACAGAGTTTTCTGGAGCTCAAGTGTCTCTGGAAGTTCCTCAGGGTTTCCTCCTGCTTCACCACTTGCCATGTGTAGCCTCTAGGCGTTTCTTGGACACTGTGTTTTCCCGTTGTAACTCAGGTTTGGATCCGGCAGTTGGCGAAGGCCCTCCCTCCGTGGGTGTCACTAGTAGTGTGTGGACGTGTGCCCTACTCAGCACATCCTGTCTGTGCCTGGAGATCCCTAAGCGGGGCTTAGTGTGGGTTAAATCTAAGTGGTTAACAGGGTTCCACATTTGCAGTGTAGCATCTTCCCAGTGAGCGATGTGTTACATTCCCATGTCTTTGTGCAGTGGGGTAAGAGAGGCAGGACTGAGAATGGATTGCTGGGCTTTTTGGAAGTTTACCCCTTTCTGAATTGCTTCTGTAAGTGGCAGTGCCATTTAGGATGTGCTGCATAGGTTTTTGGCTGGGATTTTAGGACTGAAAGACAAAGAGACATCTAGGTGGCCATCAGTGTTTCATTGTATCGCATTAAATAAACATGATAAATTAGCCAGGCGTAGTGACTACTGGGGCCTATAGTTTCAACTGCTTGGGAGGCTAAGTAGGGAGGATCACTTGAGCCCAGAAGATTGAGCTACAGTGAACCATGATCTCATCACTGCACTCCATCCTGGATGACAGAACAGGACCCTGTCTCATAAATAAATAAAAACACGATGTTTTTAAAAAGTCATAAATCTAGACAAAGTCAGAGTAAAGAAATAAAAAAAAACACCACGTCTTTAAAGATTCGGGCTGGGTGTGGTGGCTCATGCCTAAAATCCCAGCACTTTGGGAGGCCAGAGTGGGAGGAGGATCACTTTAGCCCAGGAGTTCGAGACCAGCTTGGCAACATAACAAAACCCCCTATCTACAAAAAATGCAAAAACTAGCTGGGTGTGGAGGTGAGTGCCTGTAATCTCAGCTACTCAGGAAGCTGAGGTGAGAGGGAGGATTACCTGAAGCTCGAGAATTTGAAGATACAATGAACCATGATTGTGTTGCTGTATTCCAGCCTAGCAACAGAGTGAGACCTTGTCTCAAAAAAAAAAAAAAAAAAAAAAAAAAAAAAATTCAGTTTTCTGGCTTATCAGTGTGTTGACACTCTCTCTTATCTGTTAATTTTTCTTCAATAATTATTTGGTATTCAAAAAATGTTTTTCTAATATCCCTAGTGTCTGGTACATAGGGGTACTCAGATATATTAAGTGAATAAATGGATAATACACTAACACCACTCATTTAACCAAATCATTCAAGACAAAAGGATAACTCTACACATATCATGACTCCTTCTAGAAGCAAAAGAAACCAGACTCAGGGATCTTAGGAATCAGAAGACTGTGACATGAGCTATTTTATACCATAGACATTTGCATTTTAAACTTGGATCTGAAATTAAAGAATGTGTAAATATGCCTCTCTTTGTGAATTAAAAGCCCTTGGAAAAGCACATAACATAAATCTTCTTTGAATTTTCTTTGAGGATTTGCTCGAATATTTGGATACCCAGTAGGTATCATTGGAAACAACGGAGTTCTCTTTTCTGAATCTGCAAAAAAGGCAAGTACTGTTAAAAATAATTCAAGATTTTCTGTTTTAATTTAACATAACGTTGAAGGTCAAATAATGAATTAAAATGTATTGCATAAAAGTATAAAAATGCTTAATCAGATGCCTCAGCAACCAGGACACTATATGTGTGTCTGTGTGTGTGTGTGTGAGAGAGAGAGTGAGGCATGTGTGTGTGTATGCACATGTGTGTATATGTGCATGTAAGTTAGTATTTGAAACAGTTTTTACGGTGGTTTACATTAACGTGCTGTGATTAAGCATCTGGAGCACTATTAAAAATGTACTCATTTTGGCCCGGCGTGGTGGCTGACTCCTGTAATCCCAGCACTTTGGGAGGCCGAGGCAAGTGGATCACGAGGTCAAGAGATTGAGAACATCCTGGCCAACCTGGTAAAACCCCGTCTCTACTAAAAATACAAAAAATAGCTGGGCATGATGGCGCACGTCTGTAGTCCCACTTACTCTGGAGGCTGAGGCAGGAGAATCACCTGAACCTGGGAGGCGGAGGTTGCAGTGAGCCTAGATCACTCCACTGCACTTGAGCCTGGTGACGGAGTAAGTCTCTGTCAAAAAAAGAAGTACTCATTAAAAAAAAAAAATTCTCATAAAATACTTGAGCTATAATTGCTATAGAGGACATGTACATATTCTCAGATGATAGAAAATACTTGTCCTGAAAGTGCTTCATGTCCTGGAGGGACTCAGAGGTCTCATGGTTCAAAGACTCAGGTGGTTCGGAGACATGATCTGTTTATTCTCTTCTGTCCCATTATCAGTTTAACTTTATTGTATTTTTGCTTTTTGGAAATGGGAATAGTGGGTCTTTGTTACTGGACCTGTGGCTTTAAAAGAGGGAGTTCTTTTTATTTATTATTATTTAATCCAGTCCTCTAAGATATCAGAAAAAAGAGGGAGTTCTTGAATATCTTTTGGTTTAGTTATTTGATTTCATATATTGTCTCAGATTTACCTAAACTTGGATAAATATAATTCATATAAAAATGTTTTTTTTTTTTTGAGACGGAGTTTCGCTCTTGTTACCCCAGCTGGAGTGCAATGGCACGATCTCGGCTCACCGCAACCTCCACCTCCTGGGTTCAGGCAATTCTCCTGCCTCAGCCTCCCGAGTAGCTGGGACTACAGGCGTGCGCCACCATGCCCAGCTAATTTTTGTATTTTTAGTAGAGATGGGGTTTCACCATGTTGACCAGGATGGTCTCGATCTCTTGACCTCGTGATCCACCCGCCTCGGCCTCCCAAAGTGCTGGGATTACAGGCTTGAGCCACCGCGCCCGGCCTATAAAAATGTTTTTTAAAAAAATTTTAATTCATCAAACTGCTTCAGGAAATAAAGTGTTTCCTTAAGAAAAAATATGTTTAGTATTGCGTTTTCTCTTGGAATAACAGGGTAAAAGGTCTTTATTGAGGCAGGTAACAGGCATTTAAGCTCTTTCATACCCTAATTGAGGAAGAATTTGTCTTGGTGAAATTTTTTATCAATAAAATTGGTTTTGGTATTCTGCTATTTATTATTACTCCTTCAACTTGATTTTAAAATGAGAACATGAAATTACAAGTAAAGAAAATTTAAAAAAAAAATCCCTTATAATCCTTTATATACCAGAAATAGCTTTTAGTAACATTTTATTACTTTTTTCTTAATATTTTCTTTTTTTTTTTTTAAAAAAAAAAAGATACGCTATAAATGGATAGGTTTTGCTTATTTTCATTTAATAGTGTATAGTCAGTATTTCTCAAAATAGTAAATATTCCTGAAATAATGACTTTTAATGAATATATAATATACTTATTTCAATAGAGGAAATGTCAGACTGAATCCAAACAAACTCTGCCTGATTTTATTTGTCAACTTGGCACAAATAAACCCCAGAGGAGTTGTGTTTGGCCTCAGCCTGACATTTCATTTGTTGAAATAAGCCCCAAAGGTTTATGTGATTTTCTCATTCTTGTAAACGTAGTCATATTGAAGTTGAGCAATTACTTTGCAATTCTGTACCTGACAAGGTGTTTCCAGCAGAGGTTAAAGAGATCATCAAATAGAATAAAACATAAAGGAAATTGTTTATAAGAGTTTCCTTACTCATATAATCTTTAGGGAAGGAATAGTTGTATTTTTGTATCATTAAATAATTTCCTAAACTCAAGGTTAGAAGATCTCTATCACTCATGTAATCTAAAATTCCATTTATTTGGGGGATGTTGGTAAGAAAGATATATTTACTATAACCCTGATGCATGAAAGAATTTCAGATGATCATCAAAATGGAAATGTCATCTTTCATATCCCAGGAGGGTTTTTATATTCTGGCTTTTCTCAAGTGGAGAACTAGAGAATTATCCGGTAGCAGAGTTCAGCAACTTTCATTGGCATCAATTCTTTCTTTTCTGTTACTTAAGTTTCACTTGCTGTTCATAATGTTAGTGATTGACGTCATCCTTGACACAACAAGAGTCTTAACAGTCATGTGCTAGTGATTATACATACAGGTGATTGGGCAAAACAAGTGTAGTTCAAACCTACAGTTACATGTCCTACTGATGATGGAGTAGCACTATATTAGTACTGTTACTCTTAATATAAGGTAAGACTAGCCAAAGGGTATTCTTAGCCAGGAGTAGTAGTACACACCTGTAGTCCCAGCTACTTGGGAGGCTGAGGCAGAAGGATTGCTTGAGTCCAGGGGTTTGAGGCTGCAGTGAGTTATGAATGCACTGCTGCACTCCAGCATGGGCAACAGAGTGAGACCATGTTTCTTAGAAAAATAATAAGAAAAAGAGAGCAATTTTTCAAGTGGGATATTCTTTCTTGTCTCTGGCTGAACTTGTAGTGTTTGTAGAATGCATGATGATTATAGAGTTAATTCCCTTTTAAAAAGATTTTTATGTTATTTGCTTATAGGGTGCTCACTTTATCCAGTTATGCTGCCAAAGAAATATTCCTCTGCTGTTCCTTCAAAATATTACTGGTAAGAAAACAGCTTAATCAGTTTGGTTGTATTGATTCCAGAGCTCTGCCATCAGTGTACTCATGTGTTGGACCGTACACATGTAGACCACTTCCATCAGAGCAGGAAGTTCTACTGGACATGTTCTTTCTGGAGTCCCTTTAAGGGTTAGCACTTTTCTCCATGCATGGTAAATATTCTGAGGAGATGACTCATATTTTCTTTCCCCCAAGTAGCTTGGCCTATAGGTATGTGCCACCATGCCTGGCTAATTTTTGCATTTTTGTAGAGATGTAGTTTCAGTCAGACCATGTTACCCAGGCTGGTCTCAAATTCCTGAGCTCAAGCTATCTGCCTGCTTCGGCCTCCCTAAGTGGTAGGATTACAGGCGTGAGCCACCGCCCCTGGTGGATTATCCTTCTTTTCTAAGCGAAGCCATTTCTGAGTCATGTACATCATCAGCATTCACATGGCCGCCTTTACTCCTGTGTGTGCACATCATACGCCCAGAAAGCAGCAGGAGCACGATCTGATCACTGCAGAGCGCGCTATGCTTTTCCCAGGACTCTTAATCCTCGAGATTTCAAGCACGTGCTACAGTCTTCCCTTTTATTGTACAGTTAATTCTATTTGAAGCAACAGCGTTTTAAAATGTATGTGTACTACCCTGAACCAAAGTCTGAGGATTTGAGTTTTGGCCGCAAAGAATGGTATGACTAAAGTGAGGTATGTCACCTCTCTGGACTTCATACTCCAGAGATGACCTTAACATGGTGGATAAATTGATTTTTAAGGTCTGTTATGGTTCAAGAGAGTTCTCTTTCATAGAATTCTCGGGTTCTCTGGTATCCTTCATTGTATGTTGCAGAGTGTCTTACATATACAAGGCACTCAGATATGTTGGTTAGCAGAAAACTACATCCCCCATCCCAGGCTACCTTAGCTTCAAAGGGAGGAGAGGCTCTTCGTAGTTGTTGGGATCAGGCATGCCTCTATGGGAAGGAAGAGTAGGCTCTTGACAGTCAACAGGGCTTGAAACAGTACTGGTACTAAAGCATCTTCATCCTGTGCACTACTTAGGTTCATGATATTTGGTTAGATGAGTGTTGAGAGGAGTTATATCCAAATGGCAGTCGAAGCGGGTCCTGTGTGGCAACCCATGTACAAGGGCAGATAGAAAGGGTGGGGCCTAACTATACCCAAGTTCTTGTTTCTAATCATGATTCCTGGATTATTAACCACCAGGCATTAAAACTCTGTGGTTTGAAGATACCTATATTTTTGTTTTGTTTTGGCCTTCTACGGTCAGAGAGCAGAGGTTGAGTTTATTTTTTCAGCTTTGCATTTGAGGTTCCTATGGGATATTCACCTGGAGGCATTATAGGCAGGTGAGTAAGTCTCAGCACAGGAGAGGTGTTTATTAGAGATGAAAATGTAGACATCATCAGAATATGGAGGTGGCTTTAAAGCTGTGGGAAGAGATAAGAACATCCCTGAGAGAAGAGAAGAAGGTTCAATGACAGTCTTCAAGTATCTCTGATTTATTCCTTTTTTTTCAAGAGTAAAGAAAGACGGGGAGCATGATTATGCAGTTTTCTTAGGAAGGAAAAGGATTTGAGAAAGCCAGGTGAGATGCTTCATTCTTCTGTTTGAAGGCAGGATCCCCTCCAGAGAATAGAGGGGTGGTGGGTCAGGTTAGGGTGGGTGAGAGCTTGAGGACAGCTGTTATTTGGGGTAGGTATGGTGGGAATGTTACAGGGAGTCAAGGCTGGGGAGATGAGCTTTTCTGAGGGCCTAGCTGCACGAAGCAGATGGCGCCGAGTAAAGGGCTGTGCTGCCATTCCTGTGGTGACTGCAGGAGGCACATGTGCTCTGGAGGAACTGTTTGGGTTGAATTGGATGGCCAGATACTGGAGTTTGGGAAAGCAGGGATAGTCAGTGAGGCAGGCGAGTCTGCTGGTCCACAGATGGAAGAAATGCCTTCGCTGGAGACTGGTGGGGGAAGGAGACAAGCAAAGCCCAACTCGGTGTTATAAGGTGGAGGAGGAGGAACCCAAGATCTGGAAGGCAGTGAAGCTGCAGAGCAGCCTCCACAGAGCCAGGGGCTTGAAAAAGTAGAAGGATCCTGTATTAAAATGAAAAAATAGTTTTTTTAACCTTGCTATTGAGTCACTGGCAGGGCCTATTAGCATCCCTATGAAACATTCATCTTTTTGTCATCAAAGTTTTAAAGCATCGCTTTGGAAAAAACAGTCTGTTTTTAAACCAGGTCAGTGAATGCTGAAGCCCTCATGGTTGGGCTCATCGCAGCACTTTGTCCTTAGCCAACCATGTCACATTCTTTTCAGCATCAAGCTGCTGCTTTGAGATTGTCTCTTTTTTAAAATTTTTATTTACTTTTTTAATAGATATGGGGTCTCTCGATGTTGCCCAGGCTGGTCTCAAACACCTGGCCTCAAGTGATCCTCCTGCTTAGGCTTCCTAAATTGTTGGTATTATAGGGGTGAGTCACTGCATCCAGCCGAGATCATCCCTTGAAGATAGATTGCAGCCTCATATTGTTTGAAGGTTTCTGTCTGCATCCAGATGACCTGCTTTAAGAAAATTTAGAAAGTGATTAGATAAAATTTTATTTTATCCTTTTAATGCAAACTTTTTAAGAGTATATTTCACATACAAACATTTTCTTAAGGTGAAAGGCATTTAGTAAAATTAGTAAAACAAGATGTCCTTTTGCTGGAACTGTATTCTGCATATTAATCCCATCACCCAGAGGCTCCCTTTCTGATCTTTCTCTCAGGATTTATGATTGGTAGACAGTATGAAGCTGAAGGAATTGCGAAGGATGGTGCCAAGCTGGTGGCCACTGTGGCCTGTGCCCAAGTGCCTAAGATAACCCTCATCATTGGAGGCTCGTATGGAGCTGGAAACTTTGGGATGTGTGGCAGAGCATATAGGTAGGTTGTTACGATTTTCTCCGAGACAAAGAGACATGCTTCAGGTATAAAATACATGATCAGTTTATTTCAGGTTTATTTGTTACAGAATGGCATTCCCAGATCTCAATCAATTATACTGTAATTTGTATCATCTGGAGGGGCGAAATGAAATTTAGTGTTAAAGGTGTTATTTGGAGCAAATATACAATGGGAATTAAGAAATGCTTGAAGTGGTTGATAATGAAAATGCCACACAGTAAGATTTGTGCAATGCAGCTAAAGTCTGGCTCTGAGAAAGGTTTGTAGCCTTAAAGGCATGCATGGGAAAAGAAGTAAGACCGAAAGTCAGTGAGCTAAGCCTTCAGCTGTGGGAAGGTCAAAGAACAGCATGTTAAACCCGTGACAAACAGAAAGGACATAATGAAGAACAGACATCAGATAGAAGAATCAGGATGGCCCAAAGTTGGTTGGTTTGAAAGGTTAACAAACTCGATAATCCTGCACTTAAACTAAAAAGTAAAGAGAGACTGTACATATAACCACTATCAGGAATGGAAAACAGGACATGACCGCAGATCATGAGAGGATATCATGAACACTTTCATGCCCAGAATCATATGGAGAACTTAGAAATCCCATCTGTGCTCAGGCCCTTCCTCTGGAGTCTAGTCTGGGGAGGGGTTTCCAGCTATTTGTATATTTGTGAAAGCACCACAGATGATTGTAATGTGCAGCCATAATCAAGAACCACTAATTTAAAAGGCAAACATGGGCCTCTGAAAGTCTAGGTTGTGTAATTACTTAATTTGTTTATTCTTTCTTTTTCCCCACCCCAGCCCGAGATTTCTCTACCTTTGGCCAAATGCACGTATTTCAGTGATGGGAGGAGAGCAGGCAGCCAATGTGTTGGCCACGGTAGCAAAGGACAAAAGAACCCGGGAAGGAAAGCAGGTCAGTGCTGTTTTCTCTTGCTTCTCTCTGGGTTTGCCTCTCACCATAAACACCCTGGACCCAAGGAGCAGTGTGCCCAGAAGTCCTTGGTATTCGTGGACCTGGTGCACGCTACCTGGCTGTATTCAGATGGTGCTGCCCTGGAAGTCATTCCAGCAATTGAGGCTCACATGTTTTCTGTCCTTTATCTTTTTACAGCCATTTCATATGGGATACCTTCTTTGTGGTCATTTACGTTTTTTTCAGAATTTCCAGGAAAACACTTTGTTTTTTTATTTTTATTTTTTTTAATTTTGGAGGTAGAATCTTGCTCCTTCACCCAGGCTGGAGTGCAGTGGCGCAGTCTCGGCTCACGGCAGCCTCTGCCTCCAGGGTTCAAGCGATTCTCATGCCTCAGCCTCCTGAGTAGCTGGGATTATAGGCGCCTGACACCACACCAGGCTAATTTTTGTATTTTTAGTAGGGACACGATTTCACTCTGTTGGCCAGGCTGCTCTTGAACTCCTGACCTCAAGTGATCCGCCCACCTCCCAAAGTGCTGGAATTACAGGTGTGTGTCACCATGCCCAGCCAAGAAAACACTTTAAAAACTGCCAGTAAGTATCTGAGGCGTAAAGATGTTTGAGTCTTAGTCATCCGTACTTAGTGAGATTTAAATAAGTCTGATGTACTACTTTGATTTTATGACCAAAAGCAGCAGAATTTTGTTCTTTCTATTTTACTTTTAGATTGCTGTTAAGGATACCCTGAGTGGGAGGTTTCCGTCACCTATTGAGAATTGAGTAACATTATCCTGTGTAGAAATGAAGAAAAATGGAAAGGGCAGTGGAAACGTGATGAAAGGCAAATCAGCAAGCGGCTGCTTTTAAAATGAATTCTTTTGTTTTTGACTCTGTTGGAGATTGTTTTGAAATTTTGCATTAATTTTTATTAGTTCTGTTAACTCTTGCGTAAGCACCAAGTATGAAGATGACGAATGTGTGTTCCTGAAGTTGCTTAGGTGCGCTATTGTCTCACTATGGGAAGGCATGGAATGGAGGGAGTCCTGTCTGCTCCATGCAGGAATCCTCAGGTCTTCCACCTAGATGGTGGCGTGCAGTACCGTAAAGCCAGAGGGTGGTTTCTGCCTCCCCGAATGCATCCACCCATGCCTCATACCCCTAGTTGTATTTTCCAAGCACTGGGAACTCTGGAGACTTAAACTGAGGTTTCAGATTCACTTCAGTACCATTAGTATCAAAGGAAAAGAATAGCTTTGCTTTTGTATGAGTGGTTGGGGTGTTGGGAGTGTGGGTGGGGGAGGTGGGGTGTGAAATTCTACCTGATACTTCAAAGACATGTCTGAAACTCTATGAAGCTTAGCATGGTGATGTCTTATTAAGTAGTTGTTCTTTGATTACTTCAATACACAGGTACCTGAATTCATTCATTTTTATATATTAAACGAAAGCCCAGTGTGTTAATGGTTGTCCCTCATTATTCGTGACCTAGATAATGATATTAAGGTATTAACGTATTTACATAAAAGGAGGTAGGGTTTATTTGAAATAAGTCATTTGTTTCTGGTGTCAAGTTGCTTTTTAAGTTGAAAATAGTTTTCAGGGTTTCAAATTAAGTTCTGAAGATTTTTACATCTGAATTAATTATCACTTTATCCTTGTAATACTGTTGGGAAGGCTGTGAAATTCTTAATTAGGGAAAAATATCTCTCGGTTCTCTGGGAACTTGACTGCAAAGGTTATTCAAGGTTTGGTTGGTATTTTACCCCTTTAAGCTTAAACATTTAAGCTTAAGTTTTAAACTTTGCCTGTTTTGAGTGAAAATCTCATACTTGTTCATGTTCTTAACTTGAGGCTGCTAAGTGAAATGCAGCCCTTTTGTTAGGTTGTGTAATTCACATCCATTATTGTACCCTGCTGTGATACACAGCACCCTTGGTTTTCACCTTATGTGAACTATCAGGATGTTGTCTCAGCTAGGAGAGATGGGATGGGGCACTAACTTGATACGCATGTCTTAGATGAGAGCATATATGTTAATGATCACTTGTAATTTATACATCACCATGCACATGTTAGTTGTAACATTATTATTGATGAAATCTGTTGTTTCTTTTGAGTTGAGGTGATCTAAACAGGGCCAGTTGTTCACTGAAGGTGACTTGCTCGTGGCCTCTTTTCTTTTAGTTCTCCAGTGCTGAAGAAGCAGCTTTAAAAGAGCCCATCATCAAGAAGTTTGAAGAGGAGGGAAACCCTTACTATTCCAGTGCAAGGTGGGAGCCAGAACATCACTAACTCCCTGATGGGTGCATCTGGCGGTCAGGGAGCACCTTTACAGAGCTCTAAGTAGTGGGAATGGTCCCGCACTCATAGGAACTGGAAAGTAACATTTGGACACACTTAATTTTGTACTGTTGTTTCTTTATGATGTGAATGGCTGCTGCTGAAATGCCACCCCTCCTCCTAGCGTCTCTGCACTGTGAACTCACCAGCACTGGTCTGATTCCTGCCTTCCCTTTTCTTGCCCCTAGCAGAGGTGTCTGGGACCTGGAGCGGTCCTGTAGCCCGAGGTGGGCCATGCTAGGAGCCGAAAATAAGTTATAAGCTTGGCTATGTTACTTCAGTAGTTAGTTCTAATTTTTGCTTAAAAACCCCTCTCCTTGATCACTTTGTTTTTACCCCATTTTAAGCATGAGATTGGTTGAACATTTACTGGCATTTGTTCACAAGTATGCTCGTAGGTTTGGAAGGTGATTAGTCACCACCGGGTCTGTGTGTCAGTGCCAAATAATTACCTCACACACCATTGCTGCTGTTGGCTCTGTTTGTTTCTTATACCACTTAATGAAGTAATAAATTATCATGCCTGTCCCAGCTGGAGACCTGCCAGTGCCTGCTTTCACATCTTTCTTCAACAGCTTTAGTGTTCTGCATTCTGAAGACTGATCTAAGCATCATGTTTTCCTTTCCTCCCTTGGGCAGATGGAAAAAAGAAAGTAACTCTTTCTGCATCCTGTAAAATTAGCTTATGTTTTAATTTATGCTGGCGAAGGCAAACTGAAGAGGAGAGGGGAGAGAAAAGAAAATCAGGCCAGGCACAGTGGCTCATACCTGTAATCCCAGCACTTTGAGGGGTCAGGATGGGCAGATTGCTTGAGCACAGGAGTTTGAAACCAGTGGGGCAACATGGCAAGACCCGGTCTCTACAAAAAACATAAAAAAATTGGCCAGGCATGGTGGTGTGCACCTGTAGTCCCAGCTACTCAGGAGGCTGAGGCAAACAGATCAGTTGAACCTGGGAGGTCAAGGCTATAGTGAGCTGCGATCATGTCACTGTGCTCCAGCCTGGGTGACAGAACAAGGCCCTGTCTCAAAAAAAAAAAAAAAAAAAAGCAAAAGTTAGAGTCCATTTCAATCATTTGAATGCTTCCTCGGTGGCAGGCACTGCTCTTGGCACTGGGGATACAAAGACAAAAACATACTGATTTTTTGAAAACATAATTAGTTTGAGCAGACAAATAATATCATTTGTGTATGTGTGTGTGTTTTCTTTAAAGATACAGTCTCACTCTGTTGCCCAGGCTGGAGTGCAATGATGTGATCTCAGCTCAGTGCAATCTCTACCTCCTGACTCAGGTGATCCTCTTGTACCAGCCTCCAAAGCTGGAACTACAGGCATGTGCCACCACGCCCAGCTAATTTTATTGTATTTTTTGCAGAGATGAGGTTTTACCACGTTAGCCAGGCTGGTGTTGAACGCCTAAGCTCAAGTGATCTGCCTCACCCTCCCAAAGTGCTAGGATAACAGGCATGTGCCACCTGTAATCGTGGCTGGCCAGCATTTGTGATTTTTAAAAGGCCTGTTTCTTTCTTAGCTAAATATATATTTTTACAAACAAATTTATGGATATATTTTGTTGTGGTAGGTTGCTTCATTTAATTAAGAACAAAATATTTTAGTCTTTGATTTGAGAACTAAACATGTTCCTGATTTTATCATCGTGTAACAGTCATAGAATAGTCAGTAAATGGAAAGAAGCCGCAGAAAACCATATAAGAGGTTTAAGATGAAATATAAAATATATATTGTTAAGCTATTCTGGTTTTTTTTTTTTCCCCACTTAGGATTTTGATTGAAATACATAGGGACAGCTGAAATATTAAAGTTTGAAAAGTTGTGTATTTTGTGTCAGCCGTTAGCTTGTTTTTCAGCCCTGGCTAAGATAAATCATCTCTTCAGAAAGACTGCATCCTTTATTATTTTCATACTAACATTATTATTATTTTTTAATGGACTACATTCAAGGCAGGAGAGCAGATGGCTTAGAGAGACTTATCTTTGGAAATAAATGTTAAACGACAGTAGGTTTTCTGTGGATCTGTAGATGTTTAACCCTTCTGTTGAAACATTTGGTGGCATGGAGACAGCAGCTTTCTTTCAAAGATGAAAGGATTTCCAAGCCAGTTTCTGGTACCTTCCTTGGGTTTAGTAAATCTCAGCTTCACAGTAAAATTCCCTGGGCTGCTTAGGTTTGAACATGGCTAGATCTGTCTTTTCAGAGACAGAGCTTGTCATTATCAGTTACTGGAACCTATAATGTTTTCCGTAATCCTAATAGGTTACATATGTAGCGTGCCAATTTGCTTCAGCTTGGTTGTTTTTATAATCAAACTTTTATTGGGCATTTCATTAGCACCTCTTACCTGGGGCAGTCTTTTTAACAAACATGATTAAGCAGCCCCTTTATCACATGCTTGCTGTGCTGCAGGCTTCAGAAGGGAGTGTAATCAGTTCACCTGGTTGCAGATGACAGGAGTAGCTTTCTTTTTATTGGGTGTTGATACTTTAGGGTCCCTTTTATGAATGTTTTATGAGCAAAGATTTAATTCATGTCTGTCAATGTAAGAATGGTTTAATAATTGATGCCAGGTCCAGATACTGAAGGCAGTTTGTATAAAAAAAGCAGACTGCCACCTACTAATAACCTTTAAAAAGTAATATTTCTCAGTCATTTTTCTTTATACATTTGAGGTTGTCAATGAAAAGCAAACTAAAATTTCTACTTAACAGTTTCTTCTGCAAGCAGTTTAAAGTTATTACTTGTTTTTCCTATTGTAGCAAAATATAAAGACCTACATTTGAAGGTATCTATTTTATTAATAAAATGTACTGAAGCTGCCCAGGCATGGTGGCTCATGCCTGTAATCAAAGCACTTTGAGAGGCCAAGGCGGGTGGATCACCGGACATCAGGAGTTCAAAACCAGCCTGGTCAACATGTTGAAATCTCATCTCTCTTCTAAAAATACAAAAATCAGTCAGGCGTGGTAACACATTCCTGTAATTCCAGCTACTAGGGAGGCTGAGGTAGGAGAATTGCTTGAACCCAGAGGGCGGAGGTTGCAGTGAGCCGAGATCGTGCCATTGCATTCCAGCCTGGGTGACAGAGCAAGATTCCGTCTAAAATAATAATAATAATAATAATAATAATAATAATAAAATTTACTGAAGCCTATTCAGTAATTTTCATAGTTTCTTAAGAATTCAGAGGGGAGTTGGGAAAGATACCTTTTCCAGTAAAGTTTAAGGTTATTACCTGGGTATATATGGTTCTCCATATTAATGGCAGAATACACCAACTTATTTTGTATATTTGTGTAGGCAGAAAATGAATAGGAAAGTTTTTCCTGAAATAAATAAACATATTTTCCAACCAGGGGTTATTTTGAGATCTCTTGTAAAAGCAGTTCCTTAAGCCTTAAACCTGACATGACATTCTGTGATAGCCTGGGATAAAAGTCATGTCATTTTTCCCACCTTTTCTTCCTCTGTCTTGAACATAGTTTCTGTTGTGAGATTATAGTACATGGATGTTAATCAGTGGATCCATATACCTGAAGAGAAACTTCCTTGGCATTTTGCATGTGGAATGTATAGATGGTAGTTTGGTGGTAAATTCATAACTGTTTTTGTTCTTTTGTCAGGGTGTGGGATGATGGGATCATTGATCCAGCCGACACCAGACTCGTTCTGGGTCTCAGTTTTAGTGCTGCCCTCAACGCACCAATAAAGAAGACTGACTTTGGGATCTTCAGGATGTAACTGGAATAAAGGATGTTTTCTGTTGGACATGTACCAAAAGTGAACACATGTAATAGCCTTAAAATTTTAGACTTTTTGTACATGTGGCTATTACAGTAATTTTTTTTTAACACAGTGCATTGTACTTTTTTCTACCTTACAAAAATCAATGAGTATATTTATTTAATGAACATCAATTCCCTTTCAATTTTCTTAGAGAAATTTCTCTGTGGCTCAGTTTTACCACCCATAAAGTTGAGACAAATTTACAGGTATCCTTTCTGACCCACAAAGTACGAAAAGTTCTGGAATCTGTAAGCTCAGTCTTGTAATCTGTGTTATTGAGATGATTAATATAAAGTTGTACTTTCACTGCAATAATTGTTTTGCTGATTATGCTTGGTGATATTTGTGCACTTATTTTGAAAGGTGTCTGTTACTTCTGTGGTATTAAGTGCCCTCACACTGCTGTGCGGCCATCACCACCATTCAGCTCCAGAGTTCATTCTCAGTGCCAAACTCAAACTATACTCATTCAAACAATAGCGCTCCCATTTCCCCTCCTCCCAGCCCCTGGCATCTTATTATTATTTTTTAAGACAGAGTGTTGCTCTGTCACCCAGGCTGAAGTGCAGTGGCATGATCTCAGCTTACTGCAGCCTCTACCTCCTGGGTTTAAGTGATTCTCATGCCTCAGCCTCCTGAGTAGCTGGGATTACAGGCGTGTGCCACCTTTTCTGTTTTTATTAGAGATGGGGTTTCACCATGTTGCCCAGGCTGGTCTTGAACTCCTGACCTCAAGTGATCCACCCGCCTTGGCCTCCCAAAGTGCTGGGATTCGAGGCATGAATGCCCAGCCACATATCCTTATTCTTAAATGTATATGTTTCTCCTGGTTTGATTTATTCTTGGTGGGCCATTTCAGTCCCCCTCATGGCTTCAGTTGTCATCTAAATGCAGACCATTCCTGCCTTGACAGTTCTTAACCCAGCTATCCCCTGAGCTGCACCCTGCATATCCAGTAAGTCTACTGGACATCTGCACTGGTTTTCATGGAGGAACCTGTAGCTTGCTCATCAAATCCTACTGATTTTCACTATCCCCTGAGTTTCTCCACTTATTTTTGGCTTTAATTGTCACAGGCCTTAGAAGAGGTCTGCCTGCCTCCAGTCTTACCTAGTCCAGTCTATCTACCCGCTGGAGTGAGAATGGCCATCCTGAAGTGATAATGTCATGTTACTCCCTTCAGTGATTTCTTATAGAAGTGCCAGTTCCTGAATGCCACCAAGATCTTAATCTTTACATCTTTAATCTTACCTCTTTGTCTCCTCCTTTACACAGAATGGCTCCAGCTGTTCTAGCTCTCTTTCAGTTCTTTGAACCTTCCCACCTTAGGATCTGTAAGGTTCCCTCTGCCCAAATTGTTCTACTCTCCCTTCTTCAACATATCCTTCAGTTTAAGCACTCACATCTCTCAGTTTAAACTCCACTTCCTTAGGGATATCTCTCTCTGTGACCTCCCCTGTGCTGGATTACCTTCCGTACTCTATGCTCTTATAAAACACTATCTAAATCACTCCTCAGTAATTGCATAGCATTTCATAGGTTTAAATGAAATATTGGTTGGCTTCTTGTTATTTTCCTCCCTTATTCCTTCCTGTCTCCATTGTTAAGCACAATTATTGGCATAAAAGAGGTTTTCAATACCGATTTTTAGACTGCATTCTAGCCTGGGCAATAAAGCAAGACTTCTGTTCTCTCTCCCTCTTTCTCTTCCACTTTCTTTCTCTCATTTTTTTTTTCTTTCTTTCTCTCTTTTTTCCCAAAAAAACCACTATCTACTTTCTTTTTCATAAACTCAACATTTTACTATAAACATTTCTCTAATGTACTCCTGCTAGAATGTAAGCTCCATGAGAGCAAGGATTCTCCTGTTTACTCTGTACCTCCAATGCCCAGCACTTGTAGATGCTCAAATATTTGTTGAATGAATGAAAAGTCCATATTGTAATTGATGTCCTCAGGCCACATAGTTTTAAAATTAGGTGATTGATTATATGACTGAATAGCACTATCAAATGTTTTCCTAATAAAATCAATATTTCAAACATTTGTGTGTGATATTTAATATTTCAAACATTTGTATGTGATATTTAACATTTCACACATTTGTATGTGATGTTCAGTGTGTTTCAGGAAGTCAATTGAGGTTTTTTTTTTTCCTTTTTTGAGACGGAGTCTCACTCTGTCACCCAGGCTGGAGTGCAGTGGTGTGATCTAGGCTCACTGCAACCTCCGACTCCTGGGTTCAAGCGATACTCCTGCCTCAGCCTCCTGAGTAGCTGGGACTACAGGCGTGCACCACCATGCCCGGCTCACTTTTGTATTTTTAGTAGAGACGGGATTTCACCATGTTGGTCAGGCTAGTCTCCAACTCCTGACCTCATGATCCACCTGCCTTGGCCTCCCAAAGTACTAGGATTACAGGTGTGAGCTACCGCACCCGGCCTCAATTTATTTTTTGTGGGGAGTATACAGATAGATGATCAAATTCAGTCATAGGTTACATTTTTAGAAGAAGCATGTTGTTTTAAAATAGTAAGTTATATTAAATTTTTAATTAAAATATGCATCTATGTCAGAAAAAAGAATTTTCTATATCAAGACTATGTTATATTTCTTTGGTAGGAACCATTAACAAGTCAAGCATTCATGGATATTTTAGGAGTGCTTTTGCCTTTCTGGGAAGAAGCTGGTCATCAACAAAACTACATTTAAGTGAATTGGCTTTTTATTTATGTTTCTAAAGGCAGGATCTTGCTATGTTGCTGAGGCTAGGCTCAAACTCATGGGCTCAAGCAATCCTCCTGCTTCAGCCTCCCAAGTAGCTGGGACTACAAACTTGTACCACTACACCTTGCTCTGTTTTGTATATTTTATCCAACAATAAACATTTGTAATTGTTTTACCAAAATAGGTAGTATTTAAAAAAACATTTTGATTATTGTAAATATGAATTCCAGCAAGGATTATATGAGCTACTTGGAATTTGAAGAAATATGCATCAAGTTAGGCTCTAAATTTGCCCCTGCTGGTACTTAAAGAATGAAAAAGACAAGATTACTTCCATTTTTCAGTTTATAAGAACTGTGCTTTCAAATAGAATTTGTTAAAAAAAAAAAAAAACTACACCAGCAGAAGGCACTATTTAATGTTTGAGTGACACTTGATTATTTGCCAACAAGCTTATGTGCATTTCTCTCCAGAGAGAGACCATATGTTTCCTTCACAGGGATAAATCAAAGCAGGTTTTGGAATGATTTCATTAATAAGATTATTTTTGAGAGGGCACATTAGTTCTAAAATGCATTGAGGGTGGTTTTCTGGAAGATCAAATCTCCACTAAGAGTCTTACTGATTTTTTTTCTTAGAGATCTTTTAATGATTGTTTCTGAAGTTTCATATATGGAAAAATGGCAAGAAGGTGAACTGATTATAATAGCCAGCTGTCATTCATAACATTTCTCTTAAAATGTTACAAATAAGATACAATTAATATTTAATGATGACATAGATTTTAATCATTTTGACAAAAACTTTGATGCCTTTCCACTAAACACTTAAACTAGTTTGTTTCAGCTGGGTACCCTGGCTTATACCTGTAATCCCAGCACTTGAGGAAGCTGAGGCAGGAGGGTTGCTTGAGTGCAGCCATTTGAAAACAGCCTGGGCAACATAGCAAGACCCTGTCTCTACCAAATAAATAATAAATAAATAAATAGATAATTAAATAGTACTTTTATTTTATGTGCTTCGAATTTTCTAGCAACTGGAACCAGAGGATCTTGAGGATTAAGTTGAATGAAATTTCTATGGCCCCTTTATCTTTCTAGGCAAATGTACATTCCAGATGGGGAGGCCTGTAATTGAGTTGACTGTGTAACTTACCCACATTGGGGCTTTTGAGAGTGAGAAAAAGGGGGTCTTAGTAATGACTACACTGGGAAACAGGTCTGAACTGGGACCAATTCGTCCCAGCATGAACTGGGATGTGTGGTCGCTGCCTGTAACATCATCATGACTGAATACATTGACAGCATGTCAGCTTTTGAGAATTCTTAGAAGCCATCAGCTCAGATACCTGCTTTATGACTTTAAATATGGACTTCAGTATGATACCAGTCACATCATATGTGTGCATTAGCATTCTAGGGAGACATTTAATTGATCCTAGAGGAGACTTTACCATAGGGCAGGGATGACTTTATTTCCCAACTGTTAGTTTTCTGAGATCAGTGGTTCGATATGTTTGACAGCTTTCTGTTTCACAAGGGTGACCCAACTCACAGGTTTGTGCCACTTTTTAGGGTAAGGGAGAGAGGCATCTTTGAGGGAGAATAAGGTCTTTGGAGATGGTGATTTCACAGAGAAGTTGTCAAAGGGAAAATATACCTAGAGCTAGATGTTAGGAAGTAATCTGGAGGAAAGACAAAAAATTTTTTTTTGAGGCAGGGCCCCCTTCCAGTGCGCAGGCTGGAGTGCAGTGGCATGATTTTGGCTCACTGCAGCCTCTGCCCCTTGGGCTCAAGTGATCCTTTAATCTCAGCCTCCTGAGTAGCTGGGACCACAGGCATATGCCACCACGTCTGGCTAATTTTTGCATTTTGTAATTTTTGTTTTAGTAGAGACGGGGATTCGCCATGTTGCCCAGGCTGGTTTGAAACTCCTGGACTCAAGTGACCCACCTGTCTCGGCCTCCCAAAGTGCTGGGATTACAGGCATGAGCTGTCGTGCTCAACTGAGGAAAACAATTTTTTTAAGTGTAATTCAGTAAGTGTTGATTATAAGAAGTGAACTCAGAAGAAAAACAGAATTTTAGAAAACTCAGGTTAATTTTAAATGTTTCTGTAGAAAATGTACTCAATATTTTCAGCCACAGCACTGTTAATAATATTCCCATATCTATTGAATAATTAGAAATAATTTTTTTGCAGAAATGCTGTACCACGTTATTCTGTAATCTGTGTTTTCACTTAATGTATTGTAAATATATTGAACTGTTTACATGAAATTTAATATTCTGCAATAATTTTTGTTTATGCATTCGTTGGTTTAACAACTTTATTGACATATTATTGACATACAGCAAACCACACATATTTATTTTTATTTATTTATTTTTTTGAGACAGAGTCTCACTCTGTTACCCAGGCTGGAGTGCAGTGGTGCAATCTCAGCTCACTGCAACCTCTGCCTCCTGAAATCAAGCGATTCTCCTGCCTCAGCTTCCTGAGTAGCTGGGATTGATTACAGGTGCCCACCACCATGCCCAGCTAATTTTTGTATTTTTAGTAGAGATAGGGTTTCTCCATGTT